GGAGGATGAAAATACCAATTAAATGGTCTAGCGATTTTTGATTATTCACCTAACATCTGAGAAAACCTGAGTGGGAAGTTTTTCGTGCCCCGCCCTGTACATACAAGGTGTTCCACGACTTTTTACACAGGTCATAACTTCGGAATGCTTCATCCAATACAATTGAAATTTTGAGCATCTGGGTAACTTTTTGTGCCGCTTCTACATGCGTCATTCAACTGCACTTTCGCTTCAGCTTCGGTCAAGTGACGGCAACTTTAGAATCCTAAATGTTACTGATGGTAATACATCCATTTTTCGTTAGAAAATTAAATTACAAAATCGGCAATGCCATATTTGCTAAATCTTTGTTAAAGAAAATGATAAAAAATTACAAAGTGGAACATTCAAGGACGCGTCCCGAAGTTATCACCTGGGTAAATCGTCGTGGGACACCCTGTATACACAGGGTGGGGCACGAAAAACGTCCCACCCAGTTTTTCTCAGGTGTTAGGTGATTAATCAAAAATTTCTCGACCATTTTATTGGTATTTTCGTCCCCTACCTGTCAATCCCTAAGCGGGGATGACAGATACAGGGTGATATATTATAAATGTCACCCCCTACTAACTTTTTCATTTGACGTTTTTGACAGAAGTGTCAAATACAAAAGTTTTAAGAAATTGTTAAAAGTTTTTAACTAAGTAAACACGGTGCGTCAAAAAACTGTAGCAGAGCGAAGATGTATTTTTTCAAGTGGAACACTCTGTATATTGTGCGCTTATTTGTTAGTCGACTTCAACCTAATTTCAACGGTTTTGGTTTGATATGTCTATCTTCAATAGTTACAGGGATAAACATGAAAACCCCTTTCAAAGTTTCATGTTGAAGAAAGAAAAATTATATCATTTAAAGTTTAGAGAATTTTTTTATAAACAGTTTATTGTTCAAATTTCATTTATTAATTTACAAGGTGAAATATTATAATAAATCCAGATGCCTTAAGTTATTATTATTATTCAAAAAAAAAACGAGATACCTAGGAAGGGATTTTCGCGTTTTCCCCTATAACTATTGGAGATTAACCGAGAGATAAACATATTAAACTATTAATCGTTGAAATCAGGTTGAAGGGGACATCTTTGCTCTGCTACACTTTTTTGACGCACCCTGTATGCTTAAAACTGACTAAGTTAAAAACTTTTGACAATTTCTTGAAACTTTTGTATTTGACACTTGTGTCAAAAACGTCAAATGAAAAAGTAAGTAGGGGGTGACATTTATAATAGATCACCCTGTACCTCTAAAATTTCGAACAGAAAGGTAAGTCGGGTGATACGTTATTTGATAGAAATTTTTATTGAGATTTTTATCCTCGAAATTTTAAGTTGCTACTATATACCCTGCCAAAATTGCGGCTTGTCAAAGTTAGGAAATAGTACATTGTATCACTCGAACCCCCTTTCCATTTGAAATTTTGCGGGTACCTGACACCCCCGCTAAGGGGTTGACAGGTAGAGGATGAAAATACCAATAAAATGTGTACCCCAAAAAACAAAAAATAACGTGTCCGAGCGATTTTCGATTAATCACCTACCTAAAACCTGAGACGAGACCTGAGAAAACCTAGGTGGGACGTTTTTCGTGCCCCGCCCTGTATAATTTAAAAACCATCTGGCATGTTTTCATTCAGAACAATCAATAAACATTCATTAAAACCTTCAGTAGCAAACTTTATCTTACTTGCGTTGTCTTTCGGGGTGTCCAGTGGCGTCCATTTGATGATTTGGATTGAAAAGTTTCAAAGGAAATTGCGACTTCCTTTATGAATCAAAAAGCCTAGTATTTGTTGCACTGGGTCCCTCCATAAGGATGAAAAGCAGCATAGACAAAATATACTCCAGGGCAAAATTATCGCACGACTGCTTATGGTGCTTATGTGCAGTGGTTGTGCGATAATTTTGTCCAGGAGTATATTTTTTTTACCCTGTTGCCAATTTTCCATGATTGTTTTTTTTTTGAAATTGTCAGTTTATTAATATAAACTAAACCCCTGGTAAGGTCTGTTTTTTTTTTAAGATAAAAGTCAAAATGACTTTATTTTGGCAATACAATGTAAAATTGTCAATGTTTTCAATTTTTTTATGTAGAAAAGGCTTGTTTTGCCAACATAGTTACTAAATTTTTGACTTGGGGAATTATCTTTTAAAAAAAAAACTGACTTTACTTCAGAACCACATCCTGGTACCATTAAAAAAAAATTAGCGAGTAATTGAAACACTGATAAGTAAATATCTCGTGAGCAGTAACTTTATGTTTTTTATTCATTAAATCAATTTATTTTTTTTAGTTAATTAGCATTATTATTTTTCAAAAATATAATTTGAAAATATTATTAATGGTAATTGTTAATTGAGTCATTTAATTGGTATAATCACGTGGTTCAGAAAATTTTGAAATGTTTATCACCTCTTCGGCAGAGGCAAGAATAGATGCCTATAGGTAATTCCAGTCGGGACAAAAAGATTTGAACCTGGTGGTCTGAATAGCCACTTACGCATCCTTCTATCCATATATCGCTTGGGTACCAAAGTATAAACCAACAGATCATATGATAACATCACTGGACTTTGACATTGCATATATGGTTGGAACAAGCTGTAATGACTCCAAATGCCATCTAAAATCTACCCGTTTCGTAATATACCGGGTGCCCACGAAATCAGTTTCCGGCTGCCATTTTCTTATTTGTTTATCAATATCAACGAAACTTGGTAGGGTTGATATTCTAACCAAACGCCATTTTTATGCATTTATGACAAGTTTTCCTGACTTCCGGTTTCGCCGGAAATGACCGGAACTTTTGATTTTTAAATGGCACACCCTGTATATTTTTTGTTTTTCGGATTTTACAGATCGTTTTACGTCTTGACGCACCACTTTTGAATCGAGTTTTGTCTAAATTTTATTTTTAAATTAAATTTTATTTTTTCAACTAGAGTGCCATGATCATCCTAAAATGACTCTACATACTTTACTTAGTTCCAGAAAAATACAAACTTAATTTTATCTTTGTAAACTTTTTTGATAGAGGGCTGTAAACTTCAATATTTTAGTATTTTTGCCCTAGCTCAAAAACTAGAATAGAAACATATCACTTTCATAACATTACTAAATGCAGTATTTCAAAGCGAATCCAACGATATAATACTCTATGAAATTTTTCTTAATTTTCGTTCAAATATTTTTGTTTTATTATGTAGGTAATTTTTTTTTTTACCTAAAATTTAAAAACTTGGACAAAATTCGATTTAAAAGTGTACATTGGGATGTAAGACGATCTGTAGAATCCAAAAAACAAAAAATATACAGGGTGTGCCATTTGAAAATCAAAAGTTTTGGTCATTTAAGGTGAAACCGGAAGTCAGGAAAACTTGTCATAAATGCATAAAAATGGCGTTTCGTTAGAATATCAAGCCTTCCAAGTTTCGTTGATATCGATAAGCAAATAAAAAAATAGCAGCCGGAAAGAAATCTCGTGGGCACCCGGTATGTCATGACAATATTCGGTAACGTCAATATACTTTAATACTGCAAAGTACAGCATATTGTCACGGCTCTGGGGTGCGTGACAGAAATCTTGGGTCCGTTTATTCCAAAATCAAAGTACAATTAACACAACAATAATTTATTCCACGTTATTACACACTCTGACACTAATTACTTCACTAATTAACTCAAACAACTTAATTCTTTACAACTCTTACAAAATTCACTATCTAAATCGTGTCACAGTTAAACTGAAAAGCTACTAACTAATACCGGCCTTTATAGAGGGTGAGTTCGAAATAAGTGCGCATTTTGTTATGATAGATATAGTACCCATAGTAGGACAATCACTTTTTGTATAGGAACAGGTGTCCGCGAACGTAAGAAAATACAGGGTATTGAATTTTTCGGAAAATTCTGACTTCTTGCCTTTAGATTCAAAATGCCTTGAGCAATTTTGTTCAAATTTTCAGAGAGTGTTTGCGATATAATATGACATAAACTTTTTTAACTTCATTGTTGTTGAGTTTCCGGCGTCATCTGAACAGAGTGTAGTATATCAAACAACGAGATTTTCCAAACAATACATTGCTTTTTATTTTTTATCTCGTAAATCTCGCATCGAACGAGAAAAAGTCAAGATACCCTTTTTGTTTAATATTAAACAAGAAATCAAAAAATAATTTTCAATTTGTCAAAAACTCTAGGGGCGTACCACTTTATTCTTTTCAAAAAATAAGAGTCGCTATATGTCCGTTCCTGGAAACGTGGAACTCAATTTGATTTTTTAGAAAGATGCTGAGAACATTGCAAACACTCACTGAAAACTTGAACAAAATCGCTCAAGGCATTTTGAATCTAAAAACAAAAAGTCAAAATTTTCCGAAAATTTCAACACTCTGCATTCTCTTAACGAGACGTTTGCGGACACATGTACCTATGCAAAAAGTGATTGTTCTACTGTAATCTATCTACCATAACAAAATGCGCACCTATTTCGGACTGACCCTGTATATCCGTAATATATTTTCGCAAAATCCAGAATAAACGCGATAGACCTTTTTCCCGAAGAGCACTGTAAAAATCTAAAATTCTGCTATCCTATTCTGTATCTTCTGGAGAAGGCGCACGTAAATTCCGTTACAATGGGTCTGTTTCAGTCAGAGCGAATTTCATTGGTTGAACTACTAGCAGCTCCAATCGGAGTTAGTTCACTGCACAAATTTATAGCCATCTACTATTTCGACATGAAATTTTAATTCCACCTCAGGCCGCAAGCGCTGAAGTAGCTGCGCACTAATCACTACGCATAAATTAGGTTGGTTTAGTTTGGCTTTCACATTTCCATCCCAAGTTTTACCCTCATACCACCGTAAACGATGTTTACACATCACACATCAAATCTAATGTTTCAAGTTTCGAACAAGACTACATATAGATCACCATACACAGCAATCAACTTGTCGATCTAGTTACTTTTTTACTTTTATTACTACTTGGTTTCCAGAAATAAATTAAATTTTGTTGTCAATAAAGCAATAATCACAGCTTACAATAATTATCAAATATACATTCAAATCAAAACAATAGTTTCAATCAATATCCAGTTTCTTAAAACTGCCATAATAACCTAGTAATTCATCGTTTTGGAGTTTGGCTGGTCTTAGAGATTCATTTACAGTAAGATTTTGCAGCTGAAAAAATCTTACTTCGTGTTTTTTGTATTCTCGTGTTAACATATCTAAAAAATACAAATATGTGATATTTTATCAGAAACTAGACAGCCAATACTTGCCACTTAGTTGACTTAAAGGTTTTTGTTCGCCTCCTACATCTTTGGGAAGTCGTTTTTTACCAAATATTTTGAACAAATTATCTGCGCTTGAACTCACTTGAAGCTAAAAAATAGACGCAAAAATTCAGTAACATCATGATTATTTTGTTCCAAAATCATCAAAAACATTATGTTGAGTGGTAAGTACTTACTCGATCTTGAAGTTTAGCATTAAGCAAAGGTTTAAACACGTTATTGATAAAACTTTCTAGGATTGAAGGTAAATTTACCATGTGAAGTGATGCCATTCGATTCGAAAAGACTTTCTAAAGATAAAAAAAATTACCTATAAAATCTTTGAAGGATTATTTGAAACTGACTCTTACTTCCAATATTATCTGTGATTTCTTCAAACTTAAAGGATTCATCTTAGCAGCATGTCCCAAAGTAAATCCAGAACAATCGCAAATGAAATGGAAACGATAGCACAGATCATTCTCAACCAGATATTGCATGACGTGCCAGAAAAGAACTAAATTCTTCTCAAAATTAAAATACTTTGCATCTTTATATTCTGGATTTGTTTTTTGGTAGATTATCCTTATGTTTTCATCGTCAACTTTGGGCAGAGGAACTAAATAGCTAAAAATGATCAGGTATATTATTAGCAATTGGAATTATTTTGCAATAAATTACTAGATTTTGCGTTGCAGAATCCATTCTTCAGTCAATGGGTGAGTTTTGAAAAATTCCGGCATGAGGCTTCTTATTGTATAAAATGTGTCCAACTTTTGTTTGGCTGTTTCTATACTGAATTTATTGTACAGGATTACGAAACGGAGTAGACCATCACCTTAAATAAAATTTATGTACATCATTATTTGGCTTAGAAAATAGCTTAGTAAGTTTTAAGAGCTCGAAATTAGACTCGAAAGCGTTTGATATCAGGACATTGTTAAGCTAACATTTTTTAAAGGTGTGATATCGTTCTCACGACCAACGTTCGCTCTGGAGTCTGGACATCGAGCACTGTTGCAATACTTTTCTCGGTAGGTAATGATTTCGTTGTGTCGGCTCATGTCGAGATGATATATCATGGCTAGAATTAACCTCAGACTATCATCTTCCGTCAGTAGAAGTACAGCTAATAACTTCTGGGTCCATTTTTATGAACTCTTTTCACTTCAAAATCCTGAAGACGGACAAAATTAAAACGCAGAAGCGCTGGATGTCGCAAAGAAAACGCACTTGTAGCTTTTGGAAAGGAATAATTTTACGAATAGCATTTCTATTAGTTAAATTGAAAATTCTTACTTGGTTTTTCTGGAAAATGCTTTTGCGCTTCACTCCATTTTCTTATAATCCCAATACATTCCACCAAGTCTTTCTCCGATCTTTGAAAATCTTTGTACAACTGTTTAAAAAATCTGTCGTTGTCATTTTGCAAGAGATCACCGAACATTTTAACGTTTAACTATCAAATAATGTGTTTGTCAGCTGTTATTAAAAATTTATACCACTATATATTTCAAATAATTATCGTGTTTTGTTGGCAATTAACCGTCTATCAATTTGAATTTGGTTGAATTTTTAATTGTTTATATTTTTTCGGCAAAAGATCAAGGATAAACAACAAAACACAGGAGTCACCGAATATCATAAATACGGTCTCCACCAAAATAAACAATACCCACAACGACCAGTATAATTTTATTTCAACCTCAAAAAGTCTGTTCTCACAAAGCAGTCAGAGGATTATTGATTAGTTCAAGTCGTTTCCTGACTATTTTCGACCAAATACTTTGACTAAATAATTTTTGGATTTTTTTTTTTAAACATTCTGCTGAAATTGTTAAATAGAATTTTCAAGCAACTGAAGAGAAAATCCGTTTGTCATATTTTCTTTTTCAAGACCTAAGATTTCCTGCCTTGATTCGTTGATTTTATTCTCGTGCTCATTGACTTTGTATTGTCACGGCTCTGGAGATCGTGACAGAAATCTTGGATTCATTCATGAGTGGTTCCAAAATCGACGTCTTCATGATATAGGACCTAGTAAAAACGTTCTCGAATTTTGTCCACAGTCTTGTTAACTCCAGAATGTGCCCCTGAAGTTCCGTCGTGTATTTCTTTTAATACATCTTCTACTCGATCTTTTGGAATAACCAGTTGTCTCTTAGTAGATTTCCCATCGGCACTTTCCCAAACTCTTTTCAATAAACCAATTTCTACAGCCAGAGAGTTCCACTGAGTCCACAACGCCTTGTGAATCAAGCTCTTGTTCGACACTTCCCTCCATTCTAGCCTAACTACCTTCATCATTTTATTTAAGATATAGAATTTGCCCGATGTCCTAGTCTGCTTCTTGATCTTCTCTTATTTGTTTGTTAGTCCATATTTTATCATTAACGATGACCCGTTCTTCTTATAGCTGGTAAAAGTGTTTTTCTCAGGCATATCGATTATTTGACGAAGCTTGCAGTCTTCTTTGCATAGTCGTCTAGACAGAGCGTCAGCATTTTCATGCAGGATTGCAGGTCGATGTTTAAGGGTGAAGGGTGCCGTCTCTAGATCTCCGAAAGCGTTGGGAACAATCCCTAGATGGAGAGGACATCCTTGGTCTAGAATCCCATTGCATATGTCCAAGATTATGGCACTGGTAACATTTTATTCCGTTTCTCGGTGTTGATGTTCGTTTGGAGTCGTTTTCATTTATCTAACTTCTAGTAATAGTTTCTCCATAAAATTTCTCATAACCTCGAAGCTACCATCCTCTTTTGACGAATGCTTATTCTTTGGGTCTCCAATGGACACTGCTCGTATTCTGGGTCGTGAGAGACCAAATATTGCTTCCAATTCCAAATTCTGGGACAAGAAGCTCCGCTACTTTTCCTGAACTCAGGCATTCGCAGGCTTTCCTGAATCTTGGAATCTCTGAGACCATCAATAAACGCAGATACTGCCATCCATTCCTGCATGTCTTCCCCAGCTGCAGAAAACGCCAAACTCACTAGCCTCTCAACTCCTGATTCGAATTCTTGTAAACTTTTGCCGGGTTTTTGAATTGTAATGGTCTCCGAAGCACAATAATTCTAATGTCTGACTTAGATGCTGTTAATTCTGTTGGTAGATTGAAGGAATGGACTGGAGATCTCAGGTCCTCGTAGCGCCACTATCAATGCTGTAGCTTTTTCTTAATTATTCCATCCGTTGGTGTTTGCAGCGGCTTCAAAGTGTCGGATATACATGGTCCAGGAAGTAGAACCATCAAAAGTTGGTGGTTTTATCTTCATACTAGAGAATGATGCTCCAATACTACCTGGATTGAAGTACTGTATTTCTAATTCATTCATCTTATCTTCGAGTGCTTGAACTGGGTCCTCAACTTCATGTCTTAATTGCTGGACATCGGATTTGACCTCAGCTTTTACTTCCTGAAAGTCGTTTTCAATTTCTTCCACATCGTCTTTAACTTCTTGAACACCGTCTTCTTGTTTTTCTTCTTATCGTTTAGCTTCTTCTTGTTATTTTTCCTTTTGTTGCCTGGCCTCTTCTTCTTGTTTTTCTTGTTGTCGTTTAGCTTCTTCTTCTTGTTATTCTTTTTATCGCCTGGCCTCTTCGTCTTGTTTTTCTTATTGTCGTTTGGTCTCTCAAAGTTCCAACATTTTGCTCAGAAGTTCTTCAATTTTTTGTTCTTCCATTTTTGCTTGTTGTCTCGTAATAGGCATGTACAGAATGTTCTGGAATTTCCCTCAAAATCTCTTCAAATATCTTTCCTGGTTTTTGATTGAAGTTTCAAACACTTCAGCGAAGTCACAAATTGGATAACTTGCATTATTCTCGAATAAGATGTTCTAGAAATTTCTTGAAATATCTTTTCTGGATGTCGATTGATATAGCAAACACGTCAGTGAAGTCACAAATTCGATATCTCCCTTGGTTTCCAAGTAGAATTTTCTAGAACTCACTTGAAAATTCACTATTACACTCAAAATCGGGTATACAGCCACTTCCGGGGTAATTTACACAAGTCTCTTCTAGAGATTGTCTCTGCTCACACTAAGTGTCCCAGTGTTTACTGTGTCCACACTAGTGTCCGCGCACTATTCTGCAGTCGGATTTCACTTCGCAGTCCTGGAATTATATCTGACTTCTGACGCCAATGTCACGGCTCTACGGTGCGTGACAGAAAAAAATATTGGTTTCGTTTATTCCAAAATCAAAGTCCAATTAACACAACATTAATTTTATCCACGTTACTACACACTCTGACAATAATTACCTACTTCACTAATTAGCTCAGACAACTTAACTACAACTCTTACACAATCCACTATCTACTAACTAATACCCGCCTTTATATATCTGTAATCCATTCTTGTTAAATCCAGAATAAACGCGATAATTTCTTTGTCCGAATAAAGCAGTATTTTCTAGATTTCAAGTTAGATTCTGTACTGTTTGGCGAAGGCACCACCGACGTCATATCTTTGAGAGGATTTTTTTTCCTATACCTCTGTGTAACTTTTCCCTACACGTCTTCTTATACCTATTTCCAAAATTTCATCTCTCAGAAAAATGCCAACACACATACACACACACACACAGAGACGGAAATTTGTCACCTTGCCAAAAAGGCTTAAAATGATCCAAAACGTCAAGATTTAATGAAATTTTGACATGGTCAAAATCGGGCTCTCACCATAGCTTCCTATCTACGAAGCTAAAAATAAAAATAAAATTTAATGAAGAACTTGAGATTGTAGGACTGAAGGTCGAAGTGCGTGCAAGTTATGCCCTAGCTCAGAATTAAACAATTCGGAGAGTAGGAGTGGGTTTTATTTTTGGGCGCCACCGACTCTGGACAGATGAGTCGGACTCTCCAGGATGTTAACTGGCTCCAGATGCTTACAATTCAAATAAAAAAATAATAATAATAATATTCAAGACAAGCTAAAACTAGGCTGCGTGCATAAAACCAAATAGTCAATATTAGTTGGGGAGCTGGCGTCAAAAACATGCAAGAGTTTTCGCAAGGCGGATATTTTCAAAATAGGTCGTACTTTAGTGCTAGAATGCTAGTGTACAGTCAGCACTCACAGTTCCGGGACAGCTGGCTCTGGGACGCGGGCAAAGTTGTAATTTTAAGAAGCATCTAAACTGTTTTCTCAAAGCTCAAAATTTATAGAAATTTTGCACATTATCTGTTTGAAGGTCACAGATAACGTATGTAAATCGTCAGACGTCTAGTTCGTTACAAAAAGGGGGTCAGACGTCCTCAAAGTTTTTATTGTATGGCATTTTCTTCAAATATATTTGTCAAATACCTGCAAAAATATATTTTGACAGGACACCGAAGAAAATGCCATAAAATAAAAACTTTGAGGCCGTCTGACCCCCTTTTTGCAACGAACTAGACGTCTGACGATTTACATACGTTATCTGTGACCTTCAAACAGATAATGTGCAAAATTTCTATAAATTTTGAGCTTTGAGAAAACAGTTTAGATGCTTCTTAAAATTACAACTTTGCCCGCGTCCCAGAGCCAGCTGTCCCAGAACTGTGAGTGCTGACTGTACACTAGCATTCTAGCACTAAAGTACGACCTATTTTGAAAATATCCGCCTTGCGAAAACTCTTGCATGTTTTTGGCGCCACCTCCTGGACTATATAGTTCAAGTGCTATAGTCTGTTTATTTACCAATTGTGGCTACAGTCCACAATGAACAATATTGGATTGAGATACTATTAATTAAAAGGGGAAAAAAAATTAACAAGTAAATTAGCAATATTACCAAAGAGTGAAAATAGTTATTTTCCTAACAAGTGCGCAAAGTGTTACTTTTCCGCACGCAAACACAGTTATACGAACGACGCGAAGCGGAGTTCGGATACGTGTTTGCGTGCGGAAAAGACACTTTGCGCACGTGTTAGGAACAAAATTTTTCCTACGAGCTTCATATCAGGTAGGTAACAACAAAAATTTAAAAAAAAAAACGATAATTTGTTTAATTATTTTTAATTAACTTGAAGGGAACCTATGCATTTATCAAAAAATTACATAACAAAAAAAAAATATAACAGAAAATCATCGTCAGAGCTCTTCATCTTAAAGCGTTTAATGGCGATTTCCATTTGTCATCAGTGCCGCACTGAGTGCATCCGCATCTTTTTCTAAAAGCATGTAACATGTAAGGATAAGGATACATTTTTTTGCCCTGTTTCGACAAATGGAAAATGCTATAAATTTGATGAGAAAGTTTGTAGATGCATATATATAGAAAACAAATCTGACAATGTGTTGAAGTTAATTAAATTTGGTGTTTGTAGGTATAGATGTTAGCTGGAACAGGAACAGAGGAAAAATTTGTCATCATGTGTCAAAGTCGACAGGTGTACTTATTGTTGCTTGACAATTATTTTTACTTTTCGGCACTCAGTGCGGATAAGGCCTGTATCCGCACTGAGTGCGGAAAAGTGCAACTTT